ATATATATATATATATATATATATATATATATATATATATATATATATATATATATATATATTATATTGATGTTATGATTATTAAATTGTTATTAAAATGTTGGTAACATTTGATACAATGAAATAATACAAAAGAACATCTCCAAAAGTCAAAGAAAAGGGTAAACAGGTGAGATATGTAGGATTAATAACAGACTCCTTGGTGACTAAACAACTGTAGAGCCATCTATGTGTAAATGCAATAAATAAACTCGTTTTACAGTTAACATGGCATGAATTCTTGCCATACATGTCAATTGGGTTAATGTTGATTGCATAATTATGAATTAGATTTGTTTTAAACACTGAAATATTTTAGACTTACTTTATAATCATATTGCAGGAGGACCCAGCTCATAAGACAATGGCTATGGAAATTCCAAGCACTGGAGACTTGTCAGGCTTTAGTGTATGATAGTAAATTTCCACCACTATCAATAAAAAATAGAGCAAATTCAAAGCAAAATGGAACATAGACCTATCCCTGCCATCACAGTCAAGTCCCTACAAGGACTTGCTGTGTACAAGCTGGCTAGGATGCTGCTGACAAGTGCCATTCCACCAAGCCTGGAGAAGTACGTCCCCTTCCTCAGCCGGTACGACCATGTGGATGTCAAGGAGACTGATGCCTCCCTGATGCCCATCGGCTGTGGGACAGTCTTTCAGCGCAAGAGGCTGGAGGGAAGGAGTGACACTCTTGTCCAGTGGAACACCCTCGACGACATCATTCTAGCCGAGGCCGGACAGTGCCACGACCATCTCCTGCCAGCTAAGGAAATTCTCATTGTAAGAATTTATACAAGGAAGATGTATTTACCTTATATTGATATTCTTATTTTTGTTTATATAGATTTTTATGTTTATTATTCTTTTTATAGGTGGTTAGATAAATATAGTTTGTTAAGGTAGACATAGGTAGATGTTTAGTGTTGTGTAGAATGATCTGTAGTCTGTGATATTTTTTTTTATGGCTATATAAAATTTGTAAAGGTAAAAATGTATATTGTAGATTTACTATTTCTTTTGCACTGATGTATTGGATATTGGATTGACCTTAACTGTTTAGAAAGTTTTGGATTTATTTTACAGGAGTCATATTTACATACGATAAAATCAGGATAGTAAGGTTTATATAAAAGTGATTTAAGTTGACTTCCGTTCATTTTTGGAAGATGATTATAATATGGTGTTTTTTTAATTAACGCTTTAGCTGAGGATCTAGGTAACTGCTTCATCTACTCCTCTTCTTCCCCATTTCCCTCTATTTTGGCTTTGGCATATTAGCAATTTCTCATTTTGCTTTTTCCATTGAAGAAAAATGTTAAGTAATGCTTTGTCTTTTAATTTTGTATACTTTATTTTTGGTTTAATTGTCAGTTTATTTGTTTACTTTAGGCAGATACTCCCACCCTTCTTTTTGATGTATATCTCCCTTTTTTGAGAACTTTTCTTTTTCTTTCTCTTCGCATTCTCATTCTCTTCCTCTGATGTATGTATGTACTATTCATCGTTTATCTAATTCCTTCATTGAATATAAAGCTATATTTTTTGTATCTGAAATCGTGAATATAAATTGCTTTCTTTTTGTATTATATGATTACTATGTAGGGTTATTCCTACAGATATTTTACAAGTATATAAGTAATTATGCCAGCTTTCATTAGGGATTTGTATTACTTAGTAGAAATTTGTGTGATTTTTGAAATTATTTTGCCTTTATCTACTTGGGAATTTTGTGTTGTTCTTAGATGAGTTGACAATAAAAAAAAGAGGCTTATTTGCATCTCTCAGGACCAGCTTTAAAATCTTCAGTTCATATCACTTCTCCGTGTCCCCCTTAGATTTACAGTTCATAATATTAATCAGATTTTTTTTTTTTTTTTTTTATGCATGTGTTATGTAAAATCATTTTTGCTATTCTACTTTATATAGATAGATAGATATATATATAGATATATACATATATAGAAACACACACAAACACACACACGTACACACACACGCGCGCACACACACGCGCGCACACACACGCACACACACACACACACACACACACACACACACACACACACACACACACACGCACGCACGCACGCACACACACACACACACACACACACACACACACACACACACACACACACACAGAGTATCTGATTCTTCTCACATATTTTATTACTTTGGAAAAATGATTATAAACAGAAACTTGCATACATTTATAATAAGCTTTGACACAAAAAGGTATCTCACCAACCTATTTTCCTGTAGGAGCATCTAGTGAAGGTGAAGAAATGGTGGGATAATGAAGAATGGTTGGGCAAGCAAGACAACAAGACCAGGAGGATGATACGGGACGTTTGTTCGGACATGCTGGAACTCTTCAACTCCAGCTGCACGTGTCCTATTTTCCAGCTGACCCTGGAGCTGATATTCTCAAAGAAAGCCGGGACAGGACAGGTTGGTAATAAGTAGTGATTTCTATATTTCTTTACCTTTTTTTTTCATTCACATATTTCGTTATGGTTTTAGTTGTTAGGTTAGTAGTAGTATCTATTAGTAGTTGTAGTAATAGTAGAACTGGTATATATTCAAAACTCACTGAAGGAATGCTGCACAAAATTTTATAGACTATGCATTTTCTAGACTAAGCATTTTAGTAGTTAATATGGCTATTAAGATAGGAACTGGGGTATTTCTGTCTTCATGTAGTAGTATGCATTTTCTAGTAGTAGTAGTAGTAAAGTCATTGCAACACATATAAAAATAATTATACCAGGATGGTATAGATTATGCACCAACTAATATTCATGTTCAGTTATAATAGAGTTTGTAATTTATGTTTTCCCCTTTAACCCATTCGCGCCGGGTAAAAATGAACAAAAAATGGGGGAAAGTGCTGTGCTCATTTTTTATACTTTTTGTGAAATTTCTCTACACTAGATGGCTCTGCCTTACCTGATTTCATTTGATGGGAAAATGTATTTTTTACTAGTGCTATGAATATGGATGGTTATTTTTATTATAAACATTATGATTACTATAATGCTATGAACATTAGTAACAGCAAAATAAGATAACTTAAAATATTTTCGTAAATTAAAGAAAAGGGTAAACGGGCGAGACAGGCAGTACAAGTACAAGTGTAGCCATCTATGTGTAAAAACAATCAAACAAGTAAACTAACATTGGGCATGTCACGTATACCTGACACCCGGCGCGAATGGGTTAAGAAAGAAATGCTAAAGCATTGGCAGCAAATAGTGCCACTGTATAATGATACTTGCAACTCCCCTTGTTCCTCTCACCTATGAACCATCAGTTCAGATCCAGAGATATAAAGAATGAAAATGCATTTTGTGTACACTCGCTAAAAAAGTATCAATACTCATTTTCATTTATTTATTTTCATTATTATTATTATTATTTTAACAATCCATAACTACTACAAGTGATGCGAATCCCTTTTGTCCTGCTGGCAACAACATGCAGACTGTCAAAAATCTCTGGGTAGTTTGAGTGGATGCACAGCAGTGGTGTTAGGGCGTTGACAGATGTCAGGCCCAGCAGATTTATAGGGTATGCCTGTGTGGAAATCCTGGATGAGATGTTTCTCCCATCAGTGAGGGCCATGGTGTCCCCCAAGCTGGAGCCATTTTCCCTCGTCCAAGATAACAGCCACATCCACAGTGCAATGTCATGAAGGCATGATTTTGGCAACACCCCGAGATTACACTGTGCCACAGCCACCCAAATTGCCAGATCTTAGTCTCATTGAGAATGTTTGGGCTGCCATGGGCAGACTTCACCCAATATCATACCCACAATTGTCATATCATCATTGCCCAAGCAATTATGGCATGGGAGTGATTACGCTCTGCAGATGGATGCCAGGTAACGGAGTTAGTGGCATTAATGCCACGAAGACTTACCAGTGTTAGCCAAGGTAGTGGTGGTAACAATGAAATGTTAACCCATTGCCGCTGGGGAAAATGAAAAAAAAGGTGGGGGAAATTCTGTACTCATTTTTTATATTTTTATGAAATGTCTCTGTCCATAGATGGCTCTGCTAGCCCTGATTTCACCTTTCCTTGAATTGGCGGGATAAAACGTATTTTTACTAGTGCTATAAATATAGATGGTGTTATTTTTAACAGCAAAATAAGATAACATTAAATATTTTCGTAAATTGATGAAAAGGGTGAACGGGCAAAACAGGCAGTACTCGTAATTGGCTCACTGGTGACTTAGTACAAGTGTAGCCATCTGTCTGTGTAAAACAATCAAACAAGTCGACTCACAGTGGGCATGGCATGTACATCGACAAGGGGTTAATAGTATTATGCATTTCAAAACCCTAATATTTTTAATAAAGCCAAGCAAAGTGAACAAATATTTGGAAATATTAGTTATTCTAGGGTATATTAAGCTATAACTAGACCTATAGGTGTAATTAGTCAAAAAGTAAAAAATTGTGGCTCTTGGGGGGGGGCAACTACCCCCTGCACCCCCTCCCCCAAAGAATTCTCCTGTTAGGGATACCAATATCAGGTCGAGCTCACAATAAATCATGCTACCTCGTGGTCATTGTATCATATTGTTAAGTCAGAAAGAATAAAGATACTTTTTTTTAGTACAGTTTTCTTTTCTGAAGAGGTGATATATTTGTAAAAGGCTGTTTACACACCACACACACACACACACACACACACCACACACACACACACACCACACACACACACACCACACACACACACACCACACACACACACACCACACACACACACACACACACCACACACACACACACACACACACCACACACACACACACCACACACACACACACCACACACACACACACCACACACACACACACCACACACACACACACACACACACCACACACACACACACCACACACACACACACACACCACACACACACACACCACACACACACACACCACACACACACACACACACACACACCACACACACACACACACCACACACACACACACCACACACACACACACACACCACACACACACACACACACCACACACACACACACCACACACACACACACACACACCACACACACACACACCACACACACACACACACCACACACACACACACACACCACACACACACACACACACCACACACACACACACACCACACACACACACACCACACACACACACACACACACACACACCACACACACACACACCACACACACACACACACCACACACACACACACACACACACACACACCACACACACACACACCACACACACACACACACCACACACACACACACACACCACACACACACACACACACACCACACACACACACACCACACACACACACACCACACACACACACACACACACACACACACACCACACACACACACACCACACACACACACACACACACACACACACACCACACACACACACACACCACACACACACACACACACCACACACACACACACACACCACACACACACACACACCACACACACACACACACCACACACACACACACACACACACACACCACACACACACACACACACCACACACACACACACCACACACACACACACACCACACACACACACACACACACACACCACACACACACACACCACACACACACACACCACACACACACACACACACACCACACACACACACACACACACCACACACACACACACACACACACACACACCACACACACACACACACACACACACACACACACACACACACACACACACCACACACACACACACACCACACACACACACACCACACACACACACACACACACACACACACACACACACACACCACACACACACACACACACCACACACACACACACACACCACACACACACACACACACACACCACACACACACACACACACACACACACCACACACACACACACCACACACACACACACCACACACACACACACCACACACACACACACCACACACACACACACCACACACACACACACACACACACACACACCACACACACACACACCACACACACACACACCACACACACACACACCACACACACACACACACACCACACACACACACACACCACACACACACACACACACACACACACACACACACACACACACACACCACACACACACACACACACACACCACACACACACACACACACACACCACACACACACACACCACACACACACACACACACCACACACACACACACACACCACACACACACACACACACCACACACACACACACACCACACACACACACACCACACACACACACACCACACACACACACACACACACCACACACACACACACACCACACACACACACACACACACACACACACACACCACACACACACACACCACACACACACACACACACACACACCACACACACACACACACACACACACACACACACACCACACACACACACACCACACACACACACACACACACACACACACACACACACCACACACACACACACCACACACACACACACACACACCACACACACACACACACACACACCACACACACACACACACACACCACACACACACACACCACACACACACACACACCACACACACACACACCACACACACACACACACCACACACACACACACCACACACACACACACCACACACACACACACCACACACACACACACCACACACACACACACCACACACACACACACACACACACACACACACACCACACACACACACACCACACACACACACACACACACACACACCACACACACACACACCACACACACACACACCACACACACACACACCACACACACACACACCACACACACACACACCACACACACACACACCACACACACACACACCACACACACACACACCACACACACACACACCACACACACACACACCACACACACACACACCACACACACACACACCACACACACACACACCACACACACACACACCACACACACACACACACACACACACACCACACACACACACACCACACACACACACACCACACACACACACACACACACACACACACACCACACACACACACACACACCACACACACACACACCACACACACACACACCACACACACACACACCACACACACACACACCACACACACACACACCACACACACACACACACCACACACACACACACACACACCACACACACACACACCACACACACACACACACCACACACACACACACACACCACACACACACACACACACCACACACACACACACCACACACACACACACCACACACACACACACACACACACACACACACACACCACACACACACACACACACCACACACACACACACACCACACACACACACACCACACACACACACACCACACACACACACACACACACACCACACACACACACACCACACACACACACACACACACACACCACACACACACACACCACACACACACACACCACACACACACACACACACCACACACACACACACCACACACACACACACACACACCACACACACACACACACACACACACACACACCACACACACACACACACACCACACACACACACACACCACACACACACACACCACACACACACACACACACACACACCACACACACACACACACCACACACACACACACACCACACACACACACACCACACACACACACACCACACACACACACACACACACCACACACACACACACCACACACACACACACACACACACACACACACACCACACACACACACACACCACACACACACACACACCACACACACACACACCACACACACACACACCACACACACACACACACACACACACACACACACACACACCACACACACACACACCACACACACACACACACACACACCACACACACACACACACACACCACACACACACACACACCACACACACACACACACACACACACACACACCACACACACACACACCACACACACACACACACACCACACACACACACACCACACACACACACACCACACACACACACACCACACACACACACACACACACCACACACACACACACCACACACACACACACCACACACACACACACACCACACACACACACACCACACACACACACACCACACACACACACACCACACACACACACACACACACCACACACACACACACACACACACACACACACACACACACACACACACACACACACCACACACACACACACACACACACACCACACACACACACACACACACACACACACACACACACACACACACACCACACACACACACACACTGTATTCTTTAATGGAGAGGACTATCTTTGCTGCACCCAATCTGACCTCACTGGAACTTGAACTTGGAGGGAATAGAGTTAGTGGATGGCTCATGAACATAGCTTCAGCTGGAGCACTCTCCAACTTGAAGCTATTGCGCATAAATTTCCCAAAGATTTATTTTGATTACCAAGTTCTCTCTAGCTTTCTCTTTTCGCTAATTAGCACATTGCCACGGCTCTCATGCCTTATGCTTGGAAGCGTTTGTGATTGTGTTGTA